CATTTTGTAAAAATTTTTGTTGGCAGCCTTGGGTACTATATAGATGACATTCCGGTCACAATCAGTAGTTTGTATTAATTTGTAAATATTTCATTATTTTAAAATATTTCAAGGCGTAACTTCCCCTAAAAAAAAAAAAAAATGACGTGGGGTTTTGTTACCTGTGGCCCCAATGAGGCCCTCGTTGTTTCAGGTAATAATTTTTACTGACTGAATCGTATTTTAAAAGTGAAAATAAGTTTTAAATGAAAAAGGTTTAAGTAATCAATAATAATTAGAAAATGTACTTGTCAATTTATAATTTTTAATTAATTTTATTAGGTTGCTGTTATAATAAACCACTTCTCGTACCTGGAGGTCGAGCTTTCGTTTGGCCCGGAATTCAAGAAGTACAAAGGTTAGTAATATAATTTTTAAAAATGTAAAATTTAATTTTTTAAACACTTACTACTGTTGTAAGTGAATTTATAACTACTACTTTACAACAAATCATATAATTTTTAAAAAAAAGTTTTCAGTTTAGTGAATCGAATAATTATTTATTTGTTAATTTAATTTAAAATTGAATATTTTCATTGTGTAGAATTTCATTGAATACCATGACATTACAAGTTGAAAGTCCGACTGTTTATACCAGCCAAGGTGTTCCAATATCTGTAACTGGAATTGCACAGGTAAAAATTCAAGGTCAAAATGAAGAAATGCTCACTGCAGCTTGCGAACAATTTCTTGGTAAAAGTGAAAATGAAATACAAAATATAGCTCTTGTTACATTAGAAGGCCATCAAAGAGCCATTATGGGCAGTATGACAGTCGAGGTAAGTGGGGTTATAAAAACAAATTTAATGTTTACCCATAATCGTAAAGTTCTTCAATTTATTTATTTATTTTATTTTTTTAATAAAAATTTCAGGAAATTTACAAAGACAGGAAAAAATTTAGCAAACATGTTTTTGAAGTTGCTTCATCCGATTTAGTTAATATGGGTATCACAGTAGTTTCATACACATTGAAAGATATAAGAGACGAAGAGGTAAGAATCATTTTTAAAACGAATAAATGATTTCGTAATGAAAATTGAATGTGTCTTTCGATTATGTTTAAGAAATATTTTTGCCAAAAAACATTGACTTAAACTTGATATATTTAAAACAAATTTTTAGGGATATTTAAAAAGCTTGGGAAAAGCTCGTACTGCAGAAGTAAAAAGGGATGCAAGAATCGGAGAAGCAGAAGCTCGAAGAGATGCCCAAATAAAAGAAGCGATAGCTGAAGAGGAAAGAATGGCTGCGAGGCAAGTATAAAAACTTGTAATCATTTCAGAATATATTTTGTGGGGTTTTCAAATCATAATCGGTGACATTTTTTTATTTTATATGTTTCAGATTTTTAAACGATACGGAAATTGCAAAAGCTCAAAGAGATTTTGAACTTAAAAAAGCTGTTTACGATGTGGAAGTCCAAACTAAAAATGCCGAAGCAGAAATGGCATTTGCTCTTCAAGCAGCCAAAACGAAACAAAGAATAAAAGAGGAACAAATGCAAATAAAAGTTGTGGAAAGGAGTCAAGAAATTGCCGTGCAAGAACAAGAAATATTAAGACGAGAGCGAGAATTGGAAGCGACGGTTCGAAGACCAGCCGAAGCGGAAAAATATAGGTGCCATAACTCGTTTAATTATTTTCATTTTTTTTTTTTATTCGTATTCATTTATTAATTACACCTTTCAAATATTAAAGATTGGAAAAACTTGCGGAAGCGAATCGAAATCGAATCATTCTCGAAGCTGAAGCCGAATCCGAAGCAATTAGAGTTCGAGGCGAAGCCGAAGCTTTCGCCATACAAGCCAAAGCGAAAGCGGAAGCAGAACAAATGGCGAAAAAAGCAGAAGCTTGGAGCGAATACAGGGAAGCCGCCATGATCGAAATGTTATTGGACGTTCTTCCAAAGGTTAAAATTTTATTCGAAAATTTTTTTTTGGTTTTCGAGTTTCACTTGAAACAAAAAGGAAACTTTAAAAAAAAAAATTATTTATAGATTGCCGCAGAAGTTGCAGCGCCGTTATCACAAGCCAAAAAGATAACGATGGTTTCAAGCGGTGGAAGCGAAGTCGGAGCTGCCAAATTAACGGGAGAAATAATGTCAATTGTGTCACGTGTTCCGGATGTTGTTAAATCCATGACCGGCGTGGACATATCAAAGGTAAAAACAAAAACAAATTTTTTACGTTACCAAAACTAACAACTTTACCAAAATTTTTACTAACAAAAAAATTTTATTTTATTTTTATGTTTCAGTCCATACAAGCCGCGTATTAAGTTTTTTTTTTTTTATTTACCTCATAATAATTATTTCTATTATTTCTACGTGCCATAAAAATTTATTACCAAAGACGAAACCAAAAAAAATAATTTTACATTTTACTTTACGTACTATATAGTTTTCAAAGTTAACCGTCGACATTTTTCATTTCGAAAATGGTGGGCGTGTTTTTTTTAAGAAATCTACAAAGATTAAAAGGAATTTTATTAATTTAAAATATTTAATAAAAAGGAAAATAATTCCGTGTCGTTATTGTGATTGTTAATAATTCGGTGTGATCGTATCGGATATTTTAATTTTTCCTTTAATGTCGTATTAACGATGTAAATAAAATGTCGATTGGGAAAAAGTTAATTAATTTATCAGTGTTTGTATTTTCTAATTAAAGTTTTTCATTATTTATATAATATTTGGAAAAGATTTAATTTTAATTGTAAATAAATAATATTCGATATTCATTTTCGTAATTTCGTGTGATTCAATTTGATACATATATTTATATAGAAAATAATTTTAAATAAAGTACAAAATTATTAAAAAAAAAAACTTTTAATTTTTTCTAAAAAGATTTTTCATTAATTTTTATAAAATAAATAAAAAAATAATAATTTTCTAAACGTGTGGAAGGGGGTGGGGAAGGAGAGGGGGTAAATATATAAATAAATACATAAAATAATTTTTTTTAGATACATTTATTATATTATTAAATGAATAAATTTTATGTTTGTGAAATATATAGACAAATCTTAAAAAATACTTTCTTACACAGCCATCAACCATTTATCGACATTTTTTTATTTTAACTGAATAATAAATTCTATTTAAAAATATAAAACGCGTCACAATATTTTATCATTATCATTATCATTATTAAATTAATTATTTAAAAAAAAAAAAAAAAATTAAAAAAAATTAAAACGCTATAAATTTGTATAACATATACGACTATAATATAAAGATAGATAGATATATTTATCTCACTCGATAGCATAATAATATAATTTAAATTATATATATATATATTAATTTAATTGATTGATTATCGATTATCGATCGGTTATTTTACTATTTAAACAACCTACTTATATGTTCTATTTCGAAATCAATACATTCTTTTTATTTTTTTTTACAATTTTTCGATAAAAAAAAATTGATTAAAATCAAAGGCCCCACCATTTGTTAGAAACCCCCCCCCCCCCATTCGTTAGGTACGATTGTGATCATTATCATCATCATCATCACTATTATTATTAACATCATTTTATTTTCTACGCGACAAAAAAAAATATATGTATATATAAATAAATGCATAAAAATCATAGGGATCCCCTTTTTTGAAAAAAAAAAAAAACGATAATAATAATAATAATTAGTACGATTTTAGGAAAATTTTATTTTTAAATATCACAGATGGCGCGTTAAACCACGGATTTCCCCCCTCCCCCCTCCGTAAAAAAAAAAAATTATTGTAAAATATATATGTATAGAGTATGAACGAACGAGCGATTTTGAAAAATCATTATTTTTATTATTATTATTATTTTTAATTTTCGCACGTTTTCAAATTATCGACAATAATAATAATAATAACGAGACCACGTGGTTAATAATCACGACTTTTAATTATACTCGATTTCAATAAGAAAAAAAATTATTGATTCGTTTGATACTCGTATCAATTTCATTATCATTATTATTTTTTTAAATAAAATTTGGCCGCTTTGTATAATATATAATTAATAATAAATGCATTCGTGTAAGTAAAAAAAAAAAAAAAATAATAATAATAATTTTTTTATTAGGGATTCGTACCCCGCCCACCCCCTCCCCCATCTCCCCTCCCCTTTGCCGCGACTAACAAAATCTAGGGGGGAAACGCTCGTGTCGTTGCATATTTTTACATTAAAAAAAAAAAAAAAAAAAACGTTAATTTTCTATTTTGCAACGAAAGAGAGAGAGAGAGAGAAAATGATTAAAATTCGTTTACATTATTATTATTATTATTATTATTATTATTATTATTATTATTAAAATATATTCTACTCGTGTAAGAAAAAAGACAAAAAAAACCGTGACGTACAAAATACAAGCGACTAAAAAAAATATTAATAAAAAAAAAATTTTAAAAAAAGTTTGTACCAGCCAGTAGTAGTATAAAATATTAGTAAATCGCCCCCTTAATAATAATAATAATAATAATTGTTTCTACTTTATAAAATACGATACGTGATGTTTGTTTGGTCGTTTGGTTGTTTTTTTTTTTTTTTTTTCAAATAATAACAAACGTTATACTTTGCCCAGCAAATCTTGTACGTACGATTTTTTACGATATTTTTTTTTCAAAACGAATTTCATACACACACCGACGCATATTATCGCGGACGCCATGTACAAAGCCACGCATAAACTTATGTCGAATATGTTGAAATCTTTTCCGATTTTTTTCATGTTCCTGTATTCGACCCGCGATTTATTGTAAAAGCTCAATTTTCCCTCAGAACCCATTTGTATGAGATTTTCCCGACTGTACACGGATATTAAATAATTAAGTACTTCTTTCTCGTTCCAATCGCCCATTTTATCGCGACAATTGGGACACCTCTCGGGTGAGGGAAACGAAATTTTTGGAAATTGCGGATCTTCGGATTTATCTTTGGACAAACGTTTGTTCACTTCGTTGTGTGCCGACCAAAGCCACAAAACGGCTTCGTCTCCCGTTTTCACTTTTGTTCGCATCGATTTGTTTTGAGACATTTCTTGAAAGTGTTTCGAACATTCCGTGCACCCGAAAAAATGCGTTACGTAACTCAACATGGCGTCCAAAACTTCCAACGGATTGAAATTCGATTGAGATGAATCGCGAAGAGCGTTTACGGTCATGTAATGAAACAACGTCCACATGCCACATGGGTACCTTCTCAAGTGATCTTCGCTTCCTCTGCAACCCATCCAGTCTTTTTTTGTCAAAAGTACAGATTCTAATCCTCCGCGTGAAAGGTTATTGAGATTTTCTTTAAATTCCGAACCCGTCATTTCACTTTGACTTGAAACCGTTTCGATTAATTTTTGTAGGTAAACGGCTCCGGCTTCTCCAGTTGGAAAATATTTGTGTATGATAATTAAAAATTTATTTAAAGCTACATAAGCCTCTCCGGATATGTCCTTGTGAGAACTTATTTCGTGTTCTAAACTGTATTTTAACGTATTTTCTAAATCTATGAGAAAAACTACATCTCCCAATTCTTTGATTTTTAATATTTGTACCAAATTATTTCTTGCCACCTGCAATTCGCCCACGCTTGGAATATCATTCGAATTGAGTATGTCTGGAAGTTTTTGTTCTTCTGGAAATGATATATTTTTTTTCTTTAGGAATGATTTAATAACTAATCTAAATGATTCTCTTGTATTTTCTTTTGAGTGTAATATTTCTGGTTCCTTTTTTGTTCTCTCTATGAGTACTAAACTAGGATATGAAGTGACGCCTAAAAGTCTGGATAAAACTTCGTTTTCAGGTACCACACTTCGAATTTGAATTTCTTTGACTTGAGAAAAATCTAATATTATTTCTGCAGCCAGTGAATCATTTCCATCGGCAAAAATTAAAAAAATATATTGAACATCATCATTTCCTTTCCACAAGTTTGAGGTATCATAACTTCTATAGGGAATTAAATTTGGCCAATTATGTCCTCCTCTTCCTTCTAATTGTTCTTTTTGTAATATTCCTACAACATTTCTCACAATGCTTTTTTCAGTGTTTGCAATTCTAGGGAGTTCTGTGCCTAAATTAGATGGCGTATCTCGAGCAGGAAAAAATTTCACCGTAGGATAACCCATAATGTCAAATTCTCTACAAATGGCTGTGTGATCATTGTGAGCACAATCGATAGCACCCAATTTGATTACATTTTTCCATTCTGTAAAAGAAAATGTAACAACCAATTTGAAAAATTTAGTAAGTTTTGTAATTTCCATTACTAAAACAATCACTAAAACTAAATCAATATTAAGATTTTACTGTTTCGACAAAATGTGTGTGTGTGTGTGTGTGTGAATGACATTTTAAATTGATACTTAACTTTTGACATTTATATGAAATTTATGTTTAAATTCAATTATTTTTTATTTAGAACTACACAAAACAATTATTATTATTAAAAATCAGTTATGAAATTTCATAAAAATGTTTATTGTTCGAGTAAATCAATATTAAGTAAACTCTTTAACAAATCTAACTGTAAATGACATTTTTAATCGTTGACTAATGACATTGAAGTGAAAACTAGTTTTATACAGTTCAATTAATTTTTTTTCCCCTACTAAATATGTTTTATAAAAGCTAACCCTAAATGTATTTTTTTTTTTTTTTATATGAGAGCAATACAGAAATTGAAAATTTAATATTAAAATTCTGCTGAATATAACATTAAAAAAATTTTTTTTATGATAAGAAATGGTTGGCCTAAATTATGATTGACATCATAATAAAATTTTATCTTGAAAATTAATAAAATGAATCCATTAATTTTAAGATGAAAAAAAAAAAAAAAAAAATCATAAACTGTAAAATAATATAATTTTCATAATCAATATTAAAACATTTCAGCAACAGGTAGTTATAAAATATTAAAATATATATATAAATGTATATAATATTGATTGTTTTAATATTTTTTTTCTTTTTTTGAGGGGGGGGGGTAATTAAAAAACAAATTAATTTAAATATACCATATATATCAAAAGCTAATCTTTTCCATACTGGAGCAAATTTGTGACAATGTCCGCACCAACTATTATAAAATTCAATCAACCATGCATTATCAGTATAATAGACAGTTGTTTTAAAATTTGTTGCATTTAAAATAGTTATTTTATCATCTTCCGAATACAATCCTTTCCCTGATAAAAATCCATGATAAATTTTTCTGATTTCAGGAGATAATGACGATTCACTAAAGTAAAAAAGAAGTACTGAAAAACTGATTTTCATTAAAAATGGCACTTTCATTTTATTAAGAAATAAAAAACTTTCTCAACTTTACACAAATATTAAGTAAGTGTTTTAATTTTAAAATACACTAATATCTTATAACACATTTCCGATAATTTTAAAAAAAAATTTCTGATAGTTACAATTAGTGCCACTGATAATAAACCCGTAAAAAAAAAAAAAAAAAAAAAAAAAAAAAAACTTTTTAAATACTTATTATGACTTCACGCAAACGATTTAAAAAAAAAATATACCTATATAAAATAATATACAATTATATAAAAAAAACCGCCTTATTCCATATATTGATAATTTATTATATTATTTTAAAAAAATAATTACATTTTGTATAACGGGAAAATGTAATTTAAAATAAAAAAAACCTATAACAAATACAAATAAAAAAAAAAGGTTGAGTGTTCACTGGAAATTATCAAAGTGGGAGAAGTGTGCAATGTTGCCAAACTTTATTTTGAATGTTGATTTATATTTTCACTTTGTTTAAACCTTTTTTCTTTTTTTTTTTTTTAAAAAATTATTACTCGTAAATTATTAATGCACGTACGTAATGAAAAATAAACGTTTTTTATGTGTATTACGCACAAATTATAAACAACATTACACATTACCTGCTAAAATAGTATTCTCGTCTTTCAATAAACATTCGATTTTGATAACTTGATTGAATGTCATACATTAATTAATATGCCTGATAAAAAAATTGATTATAAAGCTCGTTTAGAGAAAAAATTATGCCTTGCAAGAGAAATTCCAGAGCCTGTTTTTGATTTATCGGATTGTAATTTAAAACGAATACCTAGTAATATTTTTTCACTTTGTAAAGTATTTCGAAAGGACGCTTTGTATTTGCAGGTACTACAGAAAAGTTTTTTTAAATTTTTTTTTTTTTCGGTAGAATAATATTAGAGATATTTTATATTTTTTTGTTTGTTTAAATTCCAGAATAATTTGTTATCATCTTTTGCTCCAGGTGGCTCATTAGAAAATTTAAATAACCTTAAAATATTAAATATCAGCTCGAATCAATTCGCAGAGTTGCCAAATGAAATAAATGAACTGAAATCTTTGGAGGTAAACGATAGGTAGGATATTATAATGATGTAGCACATTTTCAATTCATCTCTTTAACTTCAGATTCTTGATATTAGCAATAATCGATTAAAAAGATTACCTTTTGTTATTGGAGATTTGAAAAATTTACAATATTTAAATGCTTCATTTAATAATTTATTAAATTTACCGAGTGCTATTGGAAATTGTCAAAATTTAAAGATATTAAATTTAAAATCGAATAAAAATTTGAAAGAATTACCTATAGCTTTAGGGAAACTCACTTGCCTTGTAGAACTAGATTTGGATCCTACAATTGTTTATCCTCCCCCTGAAACATGTAAAAATGGAATTAATGCCATATTATTATTTTTGCAAAAAGGTAAATCTCATATGATTTTTCATGATGCATTCAAATAATATTTTAATTTTAAAATTTTATTTTTTTTTTTAATTTTAGAATTTTCGAGTAATTCAAACAGTCCATCGACATCTGCAGCAGCTTGCTGCAATGATTTGCCCATCAATAATAATAATGCAGATAAAAAATTGCAAGTATGGAAAATTTTTTTCGAATAATAACTTTCATAAAACATAATTAATATCTTACTTTTTAATATAATATACTAAATTACAAAAAAAATTTTTTTTTTTTTTTAGTATCATATTGAGAACATGGAAAAAATTAAGGTGAGTGTGAATTTTTTTTTTTTCTAAACTAATAATCATTGTATTCCTGATGTATCCTGTTGTATAACTTGATACTAACTTAAAATTAATGTTTATCAAATATATTAAACTAAATTTTGATGATATTTTTTTTAGGAAAGAAATCAAAATTTACGATTATCATTCGAGAAAAAACTTATCGATAAAAATTATAGATTATTCGAGTCGCAGGAGAATAAAGATAAAAAAACAAAGGTATGTTGTTTAAATTTTTAAAAAATTAATTATTTCACATTCACAATTGTATACCTAAAAGCATTCATTTTGTTTAATTGTTTTAGTTGATTGAAGATGTAAAAAATGATCAGAAAAGTTTTGATAAAAAATTAGCAGAATTACAAGAGCAAAAAAATGTCGATAGAGAACAACTCATAAAATTTTGCAAACAAGGTTTTTTTTTTTTTTTTACCTAATTTTAAAAAGTGTTTAAAATTTATTAAGATTGATACACTCGCTATGTTTGTTTAATAATAATTTTCAGAAGAAAAATATTCCATTGATGCCGTCCAAAATATTTTAAAATATAATCAAAAATTTAGAGATCAAATTTTTGTAGACTATCAGAAAAAATTGAAGCAAGAGGAAGAAAAATTATTTAATTTGGCAATCGAATCTTATACTGATAAAGCGAAAAAGCAAAAAATCCTCGGTGAGTTAATAAGTTTTTTATTTAAATATATATATAATAATTATATTTATTTAATTAAAATATGTTTTTTTAGCTGCAATGGATGAAATGTTGATGGAAGATTACAATAAATGTTTAGAAATAAATTCTGATGTTAGGTCGCACAATATTAAAACATTAGCAGCTCAGTAAGTCATTTTTAATATAATTTGCGCATATTTGTAATTTTATCTTTCCAAAAAAAAAAAAAAAAATTGACTACTTTTCCAGGTTGGCTTTGGAAAATGACTCCCTTAAAGATTTCATGAAAAAATTCGACGAAAACAAAGGACAATTAATACAAACTTTACGAGATGATAATGATTTGCAAAAATCAGCTGTGATTTCAATATTGGAAAAAAGTGATGCATCCTCTTGGGAAATTAAAAAGCAAATTTTGTTCATAGAAAATAAACTGGCAGAATTGACGAGATTAGAATTGGCCAAGAGAAAATTAGAATCCGACTCACAAGTTGTAAGTGGGAAAAACTCGTCATTTGTTTTTTTATCACATCGAAAAACATTCATAGATTGTGTAATTTTTGTTCCGGTAGGTCGAACTATCGAAAAATCGAGTGGAACTAACGAAAATGTTGATGGATTTGATAGAGAGACAGGAAAATCGAAGAAAAGAATTGATTCAAATGATTCAAAAAATGGAAGCCATTCAAGCCGTCAATACGGATTCGAACGATTATTGGTTGAGACAATACGAATTTTTACTGCATTCGAAATCATACGACCTCGTCAAATTTCTAGAATCCGTGGATTCAAATTTAGTGTACGAATTTTTCATAAATGGAGTGTTTCAATATTTACCTCTGTTAAAAGACGTGGATTTAAGATCGGATAAATTGAACGACATAACCGCGAATACGTTGATTAAGGTTAGCGTTTTGTCAAATTGCGACACATTTTGCAAAATGGCGCCGTCACAATTTCAGTCTTAAGTTTTTCATAAGTGCTAAACGTTTATTAATATTATTGTTATTGTGTGTAAGGTGGGAATCAATAATTCCGAAGATCGTTCGAGTATTTTGAAAGCCATAAGAACGTTTTTAAATTCGAATCAAGTTAACGTACCCTCGGCACCGGAAATTCAACATCCGAGTGCTCCAATTTTGGAAGATGACAAATTTATCCAAAGGAACAACGCGGTTTACACATCTCAAGAGGATTGTGTTGTATGTTTCGACGCAAAGGTAAGACATAAAATCTTAACGAATTTAAATCAATCGATTTCCCCTTCCCCCCATTCGCCCCCCGCCAGGCCCCCCGAAAAAAAAAATTTTTTTTTGTTTGTTTTTGTTACAGTCCAACGTTTTGTTTTCACCTTGCGGACATATATGTTGTTGTTTTAAATGTTCTCGAAACATTTCGAATTGTCCACTATGTCGGGAATTTATAAAAGAAAAAATACAAATGAATTAATTAATAATAATGATAATAATAATAATAATAATTTTTTTTAATTTCGAAATAAAAGTGCTCATCAAAAAAACTATTCGTTATACATGACAATAAATTAAATTTAAAAAAAAAATAAAAAAATATTAATTAATGTAAGGAAAATCGTAGTGGTGGTATGCTGCTGCTGCTGCTGCTGTTGGTACCGCTGCTGCTTCTGCTGCTGTTGGTACCACTGCTGCTGCTGCTGATAAAGTATCAGGAAATTAAGTAAAGGAAAATAATAAAAAATGACAAAAAAAAATAAAAATTAATCAATACATATATATTATATATAATAATATCAATTAGTCGAATTTTTATTTCAGTAGTACAAACGTATTTATATATTATTTTATATATATATAATAATAATAATTATTTCATTAAAAAAAAAAAAAAAGAAAGAAAAAATTTAGTCTCTCACGTTATAAAACAGACTACTCGGAAGTAAGTCATTTCGATATGTTTTGAATTTATTTATTTATTTATTATTATATAAAAATTATTATTATTATTAAAAATTTATATAAAAAGAAAATTATAATGCCAAAAAAAAATACATATATATATAATAAAATCATTACAAAATATTATTTAACGAAAAAAAAACCCAAATTTTTTTTTTTTTTTTTTTTAGTTTTAGGATCATTATTAATTAAAGAAATTTTTTATAAATGACGTCATATTAAATAATTACGTAATCGATTGATTTTTATCATTTATTATTATCATTATTATTATTATTAATTAATTTTTTTGTAAGAAAAAAGAAAAACGTTCAAAAATATTTTATAATTAAAAAAAAAAAAAACGACATTGATCCGTTTGAATTTGTTGAATTACACAATAATAATAATAATTATTATTAAAAATTATTTTACGTAGAATTATTTATATTATTATTATTTTTAAAAATTAAATAATAATTTTGAACGTTTGCGAATAATAATAATAATAACAACACAGCCCCAAATTGTTCGTTTGTAAATAGAAGAAAATTTTTTATGAAAATTTTAAAAAAAAAAGTAAAAAATTTTTAATTCAAACGGTAATAATAATAATAATAAAGTAATATACACTTTATTTATATAATTTTACATAATATTTATTTATTTATTTATATATAAATATGAAAAAGTTTCGTTTTTTAAATAAATTTTAATTATTATTATTAGTATTGGGGAATGTTTATAAAAAAAAACCGGTGTCATCTGATGGATTTATTATTAAAAAATACAATTAATAAACGACTATTATTATTATTATTATTATTATTATTATTATTGTAAGGAGAATGTTGTGTAACTAATTTTAGGAACTCTCAGAGTTCGTCATGTTTAGGACCGGAAAATTCATCGTGGGAAATGAAACCGTTTCGATCCTTGTCTTCGTGTTGAAATATTTCTTCTACAAGTTTATCATTTTCTTCCATAATTTTTTTGAGTTCTTCACCCTGAGCATTATCGGGAACCATTTGTTTCTTCAAGTATTCGCTAACCTATAACGTAAACAATAACGATTCTAAAATTATTTTCTTTCTTAAAAAAGAAAAGAATAGGTTTAACCAAACTTGAAGGAACAAGGTTTTTAAATTTTTCAATTTTCCGAAATTAATACTATTTTTTTTTGTATAATCGTTTCGTTCGTTAATACTATTATTATCATTATCATTAAAAATAATTAATTCACAATTCATCGTGTTTGGGACCGGAAAATTCATCGTGTGATAAAAAACCGTTTTTATCAGAATCTTCGTGTTGGAAAATTTCTTCGACTAATTTATCGTGATCGTTGAGCATTCTTTTGATTTCTTCGTCTTCTGCTGAACCATCCGCCGCACTTGCTGCTTGTATTTGCTTTTTCAAATATGCGCTAACCTAAAATTAATTCGTTATATTCGTTTTTCTTTTTCTTTTTTTTTTTTTTTTTTTTTTCGAATCAAAAAAAAAAACAAATATTATTTATTTACTATTTCTCATTATATTAAATAATTATTATTATTATTATCATTATCATCATTATTATTTACGATCGATGATAAATATTTAACCGAATTATTTTTTTTTTTTTAATTTACGATTGAATTAATTGTTTTTTTTTTTTTTGTTATTATATTTTCTACTTAACGGCTGTGATAATTAATTAAATTTGTGCGTGTGTGCGTGTGTGTGCGTGCGTGTGCGTTCGTGCATGTGCGTTCGTGATAAGAAATTTAAATTTTTTTTTTAAAAAAGTGATAACGATTTATTTTGATTGTAAATTTTTCTAGAAAAAAAACCATCTCTTCTCTCTCTATCTCTCTCTCTGTTTAAAAATAATGACGTAACGATTTAAAAAAATGTTTTTGGAATAATAATAATAATAATAACGAGACGAACGACATTTTTATAAAAAAAAAAAAAAAAACTGGAAATGATTCCCTGGATAATAATGTTTAGTTAATGGTTTTGAGACTTAGTTTTAAAACAGGTACGATTGTTTCTTTAAAACAAACAAAACTTTCTTTTTAAGACGTCAATTCGATTTTGTTACGTAAAAACGAAATTTTTTATATATATGTAAGGAGGTAGGTAGGCAGGTAGAGAGAGAGAGGGGGGGGAGGATGATAAAATAAAAATACAAACCTCTTCTCTTGACAATTGTTTATCGGCATCCGCATCGATTTCTTTAAAAACGTTTGTCGTCGGTGGAGCATCACCGATTTTCATGAGTTCGACTTCGAAAAATAAAGTGGCTCCTCCGGGAATAACATTTCCGGCTCCTCTGTCCCCGTATCCCAAATGAGGAGGTATAGTCAATTTTCTAACTTCTCCCACGCACATATCCAACAATCCTTGATCCCATCCTTTAATAACTTGTCCTACTCCTATTTGAAACGTAAACGGTTCTTCTCTGTCACGACTGGAATTCATAACAAACAAATTAAATTTCCAAGTGATGACGTCATCGTTATTTAACCGTTACATCCGTATAAAAAAAAACTTTCACTTTAGTTTTTTATAATTAATTAATACCGGTTATGAGTAAATAATAATAATAATTTTTTTATACTTTTATATATATTTGTGAGTCTATTGGAAAATTCCATGTAAAAAAAAAATTTTCCTTGATGACGTCAAAAAAAAAAAAAGTGGATCGAATTCAACAATTAAATATTCAAATATAAATTTATGAAAGGTTTTTTTTTTTTTGACAAGGTAAATTTTACGTGAATGAATTTTCCAATTTTTTTTTTAATCGTAAAAATGCCATTTTTTCGTGTGAGTGAGTGAGAGAGAGAGAGAGAGAGAGAAAGAGAGTGAAAGTTTTTTTTCCCGGGCATTTTATTTTATTTTATTTTTATTTTATTTTTTTTCAACTTAAATTTTTAACGGTCTTTTTTCACGAGTCTAGAAAATTCCCCCGAATCCCCTCACATCTCACTTCCCATCTACTCCCCATCTCCTCCCAATCTCCTCCCTCTCGAAAAAAAAACCGTTTTTTACATTCGTAATTTTATTTAACGATTTTAAGTAGTTATAACCGCAAAACCACCATCAAATTATTCATAATAAATAAATATATAAATAAATAAAAATTTATTTATTAAGATTGGATAATACATAAAATTTCAATTCCATTAAGAAAATTTTTTTTCGGTTTTGATAACGTTATCATAGTTCATCGCTTATTTACTTCTTATAATAAGTCAAATTTATTATGAAATTTAAAAAAAAATTTTTTTTTATTTTTCCAACCACGTGCCAAAACAAACTAAATAATAATAATAATAATAATAATAATAATAATGAGTTTTTTCATATATATATCATTTAAATTATTATTATTATGAAGGAATACATTTTTTTTTTTTTAAAGAAAAAAAACTTTTTGTAACGTTTCAATGCCTTAAGGTTAACTTAAAAAAGGTTTTTCTTTTTTTTCTTTTCTTTCCTTTTTTTTCCACCATTTTTTTTCACCATTTTCTTTTTTCTTTTTTGATTACTTTGAATAACTAACTTAATCGCGAAAAATGTTACAAAAGAAAAAAAAAAGTTTTAATAACGGGAAAAAATTTTTTTTTATTTATTTATTTAAATTATAAAATTTTCTTTTTAGTATGCATTTACTTATAATAAATTTCGATACTTTTTATTTTATTGTAATATTATTATTATTATTATTATTATTATTATTATTATTATTATTATTATTGTGTTATCATTATTATGATAACAATTAATTTTTTTTTTGTTTTTTTTTTTAATTAACTACGAAAGTATTTAAATTCGTTCATTTTAAAGTGCGCTTATTTATAAACCTTAAACGTTTTTCTTTTTATAAAAATTTTATTATTATTATTATTATTATTATTATTATTATTATTATTATTATTATTATTATTATTATTATTATTATTATTACATAAACAATTCATTGTTTACTTTTGTTTGTATAAATATATCGACACGAAAAAGTAGAAAGAGATGGTGAAAATTAAAAAAAAAAAAAAAAAAAAAAAAAACGAAACTAAGTAATAATTAAAAAGTCAAGCTGTTTTTATAACGGTATAAAAATAAAAATAATAAAAAAAACGTGGAAATAGAAAAGAAAAAAAAAGAACACATAAAAACTACCATTCAACGATTTTTTATTTTTTAAGAAAAAAAAAAAAAAAGAAAGATAAAAATAAAAAAAAAAAAATTTTTTTTATAAATTTTAAAGTTTTTGACATACGTTGCGGCGGATATTCTTTTTTTCTTTTTATTTTAAACGTTTTAAATGATAATGTATGGGGAAGTAAAGAGTATGAGATCTTAACTGTTGCTGCCACGACAAAAATTTATTATGTATATATATATATAGTATTTAAACTTTTTCGGTCGAGTTTTTACATACATAAATGTCAGTATCCCCACTTTATTTATTTTATTTTTTTTCGGACTATTTATTTTTATTTTTATTTTCAATATTTAATATATTTATAATATGATCCCCATCCCAAAATTGTAAGCATTCGGACTGTATACAGTTAGAAAATTTAAAAATTTATTTTCGCGGTAAATCGAATTTAATCGTTGCCAACATTTGAAAATGAATTTTATTTTTCTCTTTAAATTTCATTTGAATTGGTGTACGTCGTGGTAGAAAGACGTTTTTCTTTTCGTTTTATTTGTTTTTTTTAGTTTTTTTCACGTAAATTAAACGTGGAAAGAAATAATCGGTTACAAATAATAATAATAATGATAATAGAGTATAAAAATTAAATTTTTATACTTCCTACGTTTAAATTTAAAGGTAAACTCATCAATTTTATTTTTTTTTTTTATTTAATTTTCCAAAAAAGATTTTTTTTTTAACCGACGACGACGACACAAACACAAAAACTTTTTTTTTTCTTTTTTCAATTTATTTTCCAAAGGCTTACAACTTTTTTCGTATGATGATAATGATAATGATAATGATGATGATAAAGTAAAAGAAAAAGAAAAAGATGGAAAAAAGAAATGAAGATTCGTAATATCCGGTGTGTTTAATCGTCTTTAAATTAAATTTTCTTTTTTTTGCTAACATTTTTCATTTTTTTTTCTTTCTT